CAGCTAGCCACCTCAAGCTCAGTCGGAATAGCTGTTTGATTGAGGAAATCGTACTGGTCCCTGACAGGAGGACGATTTCTTTCCGCGGGAACAACTCCTCCCAGGACTGCCAAGGCAAGGTGTATGAAGGAATCGATGAGAGATCACCGTTTCTGTTTTTTCTTCTTTTCCGCCGTCTTCATTTGCCATGGCGACTGAATGATTCATCGATAACTTCCATGAAANGGGGTTAGACCTCCCCTTCACCGTTTCAATGGAGCAAATGTCGCGGTCTCGTTTTTCTGGCTGCTTACTCATTTGTCGTTCTGACTGGTTAAGTCGCAATGGTTATTCTAGCATCCCTTTTTAGTTCATACTTAATCGCCTTCCATTAGCATTTAATGTCACACTCTGTGGTTCTGGTACACCTACCTCCTCTCCACCATCTCATATTTCTCTCATTCCCATAACGGATGAAGGCAAAGACTCGCCGACGACCAATCTCTTTAATGTGTGCCGTGCATTCACTTCCTTTCCAAAATCATAAGTATAATGCATACCTCAGATTAGTTCGGCCAACCGAGGCGGAAATTTTCGACGTCCTGCCTACCCTATTGTTCTGGCTCTTGGGGACGAGCAAGGTATAGGTTCGGTTGAACCCTCTAAATAATATAAATGATTAGGATAATGAACATTTTCATCCCTAGGTTTTTTTGTACAACTTCAATTACACACTTTTAGGTTCTTTTTACCTTTTTGAATTTTTCCTTTCGAAATTGCGAAAAAAATTCTAATTCGATAAGAATAGTACCTAATGTTTCTTTTTGGTTTGGTTTTCTGTCCGAATCACAGAGAAATTCATCTGTACTACAGTGCCGGCCTGATCCCGTGACAGGTTGACCCTTCTATCCAAACTATCAAAGAAGTTGTGATATATTACTGACTTATGGAGTGACTTCAGGGTAGGCAAACATACGTGTAACTCCGCAGTAACCAGGTTTAACTTCTGGCTCAAGTGTGGCTCTCATTTTACCCTCCTGATAAGACAGAGAGTGTTACCTAGGATGGCAACTGATCCCGTAACCTACTGATGACTTCGGAAAAGCGTTTTGTGTCTGTATTGAGGGCCTGCTCTAGCCGTAGAGCAGTTAATTCCTTCGATACAGTCTTATATTCAGAACAGGAGTTACTATTAACGGAATGTCCTGAGGAACACAGAAGAACACTTGGTTCACCTCGTGTTGAATCGAGCGCGTACTGATTTTGGGGGAGCTCAGGCATTAGTACATTCCACACTAGCACCTGTGTTCCTTAAAAAATCTTGGAAGCAGTTGTGAAGACTATGTGTCCTTCATCATTCCCGCAAATATCTGTCTTCGTCCAAGCGACTGCTCCTTTTTCCCAGATGGCCGTCGGTTAGACCTACCTAAGTGTAAATATAATTTTTCGAATCTCGAAGGAGTTGTTCCACTACCTCCCGAAAATATGCAGCCTACCGGTTTTAGCCCATTTCGCTGTGCCCATACATAAGTAGTTCCAGTATTTTGCCAAGGAATGGAGGGTGATCAGGGCTTAGAACCTATCAGTCCTCCTTGTTTGCACCCCATATCCGGGGATTTTCCTGACAATCATGAAAGTTACAATCTTGTTGCGAACTTAGCTGATTTATGAATGTAGGAAATGATTATTTAGCAATGATTGCTCTTCTTCATAATTACTACCACTTTTTGAGTGTTTCGGGGTTTTTACGGGATGCGCCGCGCTACCGGCTGGGAAGAACCTCATTATTTGTCGAATTTTACGAAAATTTACGACCAATCTGCTAAGGCTACTTCCTCTTCCTTTATCCTCGACCCCTCTGCACACCCACTTGCCCACTTTCAAGGTCATATCCATCGGTTCGTTACCTTGGGGTCAGCTGTCAATGCATCAATGCTTTCAAGTGTATGAAGTGTACCAATGATCAATCACTCGGTTACCTTATTGTCCACACCTCCATTGAATGGAACCTTTTTGACGATGTGACCCGAGATTGAGCAGTTCCTTCAAGGTAAGCCACCTTCTCGACTTTCATTCGCAATACGGTTATGAATAGATGACTCTGAAGGCTATCTGAGGTTCTATCTAGTGGTCGTTCACAACTTTGGGTAGTCTTTCTACCATCCACTAGATACCTTTTGTTGCGAGTGGAAGTTTGATATGAACTATCTGGATCTGGACATAAGGAACTTTGGCTCCTGGTACACCTCAAAGATGTGGCCCTCAAGTCTTTTCGTTCCATTTTAAACTCAATCCATCCGAGTCATAGGCCACCAGGACAGCGCTTGCATTTGAACAGGGAAATGGATATCCCTCATTTCTGTGTAATTGAATGATCAAGCTCGAGTCGAAAACTTTTTATTGCATTTTGAACACTGGCTCAATAACCTTTGTTACTTTTATTCAGCGGGATTTTCCTTAAGTCAGCCCGAAGTT